CAGGAATGCTGCTGAAATCTACAGGAAGTTTCCTAGAATCTGGCTTACAGGAGAGCTGTGCAGAGTTTTGGACCAGTGCCGATGATAGTAGTGCTTCAGATGAAATAAGGTTGAAGTTGCATTTTCTTTCCTCTCCCATTTTTTATTTCATGTAGTTTTATTCTTGGTAATGAGCCTGAAATGAGCCTTGTTGAAACCAAATCGTTAGACTTGAAGAACTTGGGTAGTAGACATAAAGGGATTTATTTCTTACTACTGTATTGTCTTTTTATATGATCCCTTAGTTATGGTTTTATGTAAAATTGTCTTTGAGGGTGATTTTTATTTAGCCTAATAAAAACAGCGTCCTTAGAGAAAATGTTGTTTAAGTTGACTAAAAATGAGTAGGGTAGAATTCATTCACATGTTCTGGAATGTCTTTAATTAAATCATTGTTTCTGTCCTTTAAAGACTCTGTAGCAGTCCATGAATACATTTAATTAATATTTGGTACATTTTTATTGTTTTTATACTAAGGTTATCCCTTCTGTTGAACTTTAAGCTTGAGAACCCGAAACCATGGCTTGCACATCTACTGCATTTCCTCCAATTCTGTGCAGATGGCATTGAGGATGAACCATGTTAAAGTGCTATTTTTGTGGCATATGTAATACTCATATAGCTATTTAGTGGCCAATTATCAGCAATATCCTATGAGTCAACATTAGGAAGTGCTCAGGCAGAGCTAACTTCTCTAGAGATGTTTTCTCTCACTTTCCAAAATTTGATAAAAAACACATTTTTGGGTTTCAGAACACTGGGATGTCTTTATGCCAGGATTAGAGAAAGAAGTGACCACATAGGCTCTCACCTGGGAAAATACCTAATAGCTGAGAAATGGAGTGAATTAGTTTGTAGAAGGTCTTGCAGTTTTGAACGCAAACATGGAAGATTCAAAATACGAGAATTCAAGAATTAAGATGGTCAAGTAGAGAATGGGTCTGATAATGCCCTGATTGTTTACTAGGGATGGATCTAGACGTGGGTTCACGTGCAGTGATTTGTGGGCCTGACTTGTCCTGGCTGCAGAGAGGCCACGGGCCTTGTGCACATCCCTTCCCAAGTCATAGCTCAGTGATGTCCTGTTGGTGGATTGAAAACAGCTGTGATGGGAGTATTCACACCATGAAAACTGACAAACACCACACAAGACAATATTTTGCGGGGAGCAGGTTGTTAAACGTTTGCTGGTTCACTACTATAATATATATATATATATTGCTTTTTAGTTAGATTATGAGCTGGGAGTCAAGAACTTATTTCAAACTCCAAGAATTATCCTAATGAAGCCTTTAGAAGATTGAGCATACTCCTATTTGGAGGTTATTAAGTGTGCCTTACTTATTTAAAAAATACAAGTACTTTCTAGAAAGCTGTGGGGAGCAAGGTTCTGAATATTATGAATCCATTCCCAACAATTGCTTGCTTCTAAAATCTTCGGTCTTTATTAACGTGATTTGGAATTTGCTTCATCTGTATTGTTGTGTATTTCTTGGCATACCGTAATGTATTCTAACTGGATTTCAATCAACTTGGCAGGAGATCTGTTATAGAGATCAGTCGAGCACTGAAGGAGCTCTTTCATGAGGCTAGAGAAAGAGCCTCCAAAGCACTTGGATTTGCTAAAATGCTAAGAAAGGTGAGTTAACAATCCTGGTTAATTATTATTTTTTCTTATTTTTCTTTTATCTTATTTTTTAAAAAGCTAACCCTAAAGAAGTTTCTTTGTAACTGTGATCCTAGGACCTGGAAATAGCTGCGGAGTTCATACTTTCAGCCCCAGTTAGAGACCTTCTGGATGTCCTGAAATCAAAACAGTACGTTAAGGTATGTATTTAAGGTGGCATAATTATTTTACCTTTCTTACTTTACTCTAAAACAGACAGACTTTTTCATAAAGGTCTAGATAGTAAATATTTTAGGCTTTGCAGGCCATATGTGGACCCCAGTTTTAAGGCTGTCCCATAATTTCCCAATGCAACAATTAGAAAAAGGTTTTCATACCTGACTTACTAACTTGTTTTAAGAATGCAGAAGAAAAACCCCAAACATTTACTCATACAATATAATTTATCAAATTAGTTACACATATATATTTAAAATGATGTCTATAAAGTAATGTGTTGCTTTTAAGTAATTGTTTTTTCACCCTCACATTTCCTGAAACAATTCAAACTTTCTACATGAATCTTTGATGTCAGTGTCCTGGCCATCACTAGACCCACTTTTTGAGTCACCATCTTTGCTCCCATTTAAACTGTTTGAGCTTAGTACTTTTAGAATCTGTGTATGATGTCACTGGAAGTTTTATCCCACATGTGTTTATGTGTGACTTGCACAGCGTAATCACATATGTACCCCTTTTTCCAGTGATCTTTAAAAGGCTTTTTACGGTGCCCCTGTCAAGAATAATTAGTGGATCTGTATTAACACTTTTTGCCTTTCACTGAGTCAGGTGACTTTCTGTTTCAAAGATGTCGTGCAGCATATACTCCCCTGGGATTCTGCCCCTGGTGCCGAAGACCGTAGCCACCAGTGCCCACTGCAGGGCATTGCTCTGTGGGAGCAGCTTTGCATCAAAACTGCACTGCAGAGTGGCATTCACTGAGGTTGTTTCAGGCTGACGTTCTTCCCCTGAGGAGTGTTCTCTTTGTTGTTGAAAATAAAGAATTTGGAGGATTCCCTGTACGGAGAAACTTTACCAAGCCTCTCCCCCAATATAGTCACACTCTCCCTCCTCCAGTCACACTGAACTGAGTTACAGTCGGCTCTCCGTATCTGCGGGTTCTGCAGTCGCTGATTCAACTAACTGCAAATTGAAAGTAGTTAGGAAAAAAACATTCCTGAAAGTTTCAAAAAGCAAAACTTGAATTTGCAACATGCTGGCGACTATTTACATACCATTTACGTTGTATTTACAACCTTTTACATAGCATTCACATTGTATTTGGTATTGTAAGTAATCTAGAGATGACTTGAAGTATATGGGAGGTTGTGTATAGGTTACGTGCAAATACTCCGCCACTTTATATAAGGGACTTGAGCGTCCACGGATTTTGGTATCCGAGGGCGTCTCGGAACCAGGCCTCTGTGGATGCCCAGGGACGACGGGACTTGCCGTTCCCTTCATAGCTCTAATTAATGCCTTTCCCACATCTCCTTGCCCAAACTCACTTGACTTTTTCTAGGTTTGTTTTGTTTTGTTTTGTTTTTTAAATAACATTTCTATAACATACTGTGTTCTTTAATTCAAGGTTTTGGATTGTTTCTTTTCCAGGTACAAATTCCTGGCTTAGAAAACTTGCAGGTGTTTGTTCCAGACGCCCTTGCTGAGGAGAAGAGTATTATTTTGCAGTTACTCAACGCGGCCGCAGGAAAAGACTGCTCGAAAGACTCCTATGAACTGCTGATCGACGCCTATCTGCTTCTCACCAAACAGAGCGACCGCGCTCAGGACTCAGAGGGCAGCTGGGCCACGTGGGAGGCGCAGCCTGTCAAAATCGTGCCTCAGGTGGAGACTGTCGATACCTTGAGAAGCATGCAGGTCTGTCTCACTCCCAGTCCCTGCCCCACCGTTCCCCACCCTGCCTGGAAGCAGTATTGCTTACTTAAAATACTTCTAGGAAAAAGGAATTGTTAGCAGCCCATGAATGATTGGTTTAAGCAGTCTCAAGTATCCACTTCCCCAAGATAGACCTTGATGTTTTGATAGATAGTTTTGTAGCATTATTGTACTAAAATATTCGGGCAAATTCTTTAAGTATGTTCAGTTATACCAAAATATTTGAAAAGTTTTATTTATATCTTTCCTTACTCCAGCCATGTATGTAGTTAGATCCAACCACTCCTGATCTGAAAGGAGTTATCTACTCCTTTAACTTGTAGTTCCAGAAATCCCAGTTCTCCAAGCACTCTGATTTGCTGGCTACTTAAGTTTTCATTTTTGTAGTCAAGGTTTTCACCTGCCTACCTAACAGGGATCCCACGACAATCTGTGTAGCTCAGTAACTCAAACTGTAAGAAGCCTCCTCATGCCTCTGTGTTCAGCTCTGGAACAGTGGTGGTGAGTGCACATGTGCACCTCGAACTCAGCCAGACCAGCGCTGGGCACCCTGGCCAACTGTCCCCTCAGCTCTGCGAATCTGCCTTTTCTCTTGTATTCCCTGTCTCAGTGACTGGTGCTCTGTCCACTCAGTTGTTTAAACCAGGATGTGACAGTTCATATCATTTCAGCTTCGCGCACCTTCCACTTAGTCACTAGCCCCAGCACCGAAGCCTTTCTAGTAAATGAGCCTTTCTCTGCATCCCCAGAGCAGCTGCCGTGGTCAGACCTTATCATCCCTTTCCTGGACTGTTGCAGGGCCCTCCTTGCTTCAACCCTCGCCTTCCCTCCCTCCAATTCTGTATTCGTTTGCTTGTTTCGGTACTTGCAGGATGATCCTTATAATTCATACATCTCATCACAGGTCTACTCAAAATACTGCAATACCACCACTTAAAGAATACAAATAATGAAGTCTTGATTTCAGTTTCATGCAAGGCCCCTCATCTCATCCCACTCTTATTCCTGCATTTTCTGTCTCCACATGCTGCTTCAACACACACACAAACACACACTCTGCTCCAGGAGTAATGAATTTCTTGGAGTTCTAGCATACTTCAAAGGCTTCATGCCCACATAATTCCGTGGGACTCCTCCGCATCGTGCTGGAGATCGGAACCATCAGTGCCCCCTGCAGTGTGCTGCTCCATGGGAGCAACTGTGCTTGACAACTACTTTCTGATCAGGTGGTTGCTGGCCTGGTGGCCCTGAGGTTGGTGTTGTTTTGGAACTGGGGGTTGAACTAGAGTGGAGAACTAAGTGGGTCTGTGTTTAAGCCCTGTGCTTGCTTTTCCTCCCAGGTGGATAATCTTTTACTAGTTGTCATGGAGTCTGCCCATCTCATAATTCATAGAAAAGCTTTCCAGCAGTCCACTGAAGGACTCATGACCCTACGCCAGGAGCAGACATCCAGTCAGCCCGTCATTGCCAAAGCTTTGCAGCAGCTGAAGGTACTTCACCGTCAGCTCTACCGTAACTAATTTATTTACGTTTGGTGAAATGCTAGGGAAGAATCAGTTTGTTATAATTTAAGTCACTCCAGGGACTTGAACTCTTAAAGTGTCCTCCCCATTCTCCCTCTCTTCCCGTTTTTCCCATGTCTAAATTAAAAATTTCCTGGATCTTTCTTGGAACTGTGTAACATTAGAATTGGAGAGGATAAAAATTTGAATCGTCACATGACTTCTTAATGGTCACGTGGTTGGTTAGTATTGGACTTTTAGATCTCCTCATTCCTAATCCAAGTTTATTTCTCCTTTAGCAATTACCAGTATTTACTAGAGGCACCTTAGGTCAAAAATGTGTAATTCAAAAAAAGAGTTATTTATTCTTGCCTTCAGTTAAATTAATTGAGAAAGCTAGTTGCAGACAGGCAGAAAGAGCCTTGCCTTCTCTGCCATTATTTCCCATTTTCACCTGCTTCCTATTTTGCACTCCATTTATCAGTCTTGGTCTCATGCACACTTTCCTGCAGCCCGTCAGTCTTCTCAGTCACATTAAGGCTTGACTTCTTGAAATTACAAGTAGTTTTGATAAACGTTTGTTTTCCTTTTGTCAATCTGGTTTGTCTTATTTATCTATAAACATACTTTCTTACAGATTGTCACCCCACTTAGATACCAGGGCAGGGGACTTTTGTTTTTTCTTTTAGTTTGAGTTAATGAATTCTGGAGAGTACAAAATTATATAAGATATTGATTATTCTTGAGCTTAAGGAATTTGTAGCCTTAAGGATCTAAACTGTCACACTAAAGTACAGAGGAGGGAGAGATTAGATCCTCCTAGTAGCATCTGGGAATTGCTGCCATGGAGGCATTTCAGCTTGGGAGTATTTCAAAAGATGCAAGTTGGGAAGAGACCAATAAGAGAAACATTTGGGCATTGGTGTCTGTGGATCAGGGTTATGAGAATGCTCACTGAATATCAAGCAGTCTGATTTGGTTGGATCTTGGTGTATACAGTGGAAAGTAGTGAGAGATGAGGTTAGTAAAATCAGGTGGGCAAAAATCAGGCTGTTGAGAGATTTGGGGTTTCATCTTCTAAGCCCCAGAGAATTGTCAAAGATTTTGGAAGAATATTTTGGAACACTACGTAGAGGAACTATCTGATAGAGATACGTGTACGTATGTGTGTGTTTATGGGTGGGTGGAAAGGGAACCCAATTTGGAGCTGTTGTACTATTAATTAGGGAAGGCAACAAAGCTTGAGCTAGGGCAGGGTTTCTCAACCTCCATACTGGTGACCTTTTAGGCCAGTCAGTAATTCTTAGTTTGGGGGAGCTGCCCTGTGTGTTGTAAGATGTCTGGCAGCATCCCTGGCCTCTGCACAGTAGATGCCAGTAGATTTCACAACACCCCCCCACCCCACGTTTGGACAACCAGAAATATCTCCAGACGTTGCCAGTGTCCCCTGGGGTGGTAACATTGGTCTCGGTTGAGAACCCCTGAGCAGGGGGATAAGAAGGACAGTACGACTAATAACACTGTGGAGGTCATTTAGAAATCATAGTTCACTCTGTGGAACTGAAACCATACTTACCCTTGAGCAGCCACCGAGGGGAGAAAACAACTGGTGGTTGATAGGCAGAAATATCGAAGCTGTAAGCATCTATTCAAAGACCACCTTGTAATTAGGCATTATATTTTAAATGGACTGTTTTCCTCTTGTATTTCATAAGTTTTTAAGAATACCTAATACAGATAAAAATGAAAATACTAAATTTTTTTCTATTTTTGGTCATTCCTTTTGAATAACCAAAATAAATATGACTGGAATTTATTACAATGGTCAATGGCTGTGTGATGATGAAAGAAATCTTCCTCTAAAATACAGTAAGTGTTGTGTGAGTTGTTTCACTTTGGATTAATTATGGTTTGGGATTCTTTAGAATGATGCATTAGAGCTTTGCAACAGAATAAGTGATGCCATTGACCGAGTGGACCACATGTTCACTTCAGAATTTGACGCTGAAGTTGATGAATCTGAATCTGCTACGTTGCAGCAGTATTATCGAGAAGCCATGATTCAAGGGTACAATTTTGGGTTCGAGGTAGGTACAAAATAAGAGGAAAAACACAGTACAATTTTGCAGTTGCTTTGTAACTTACTTACAGAAAGCATTAGGAATCTTGTACAGCAAATCTCATGATCTCATTATTATAATCACAGCTTAGTCAAGAATGTCATCTTACATCCCTGTTGAATATCAGAAATGCTGGGTTACTTTTAAACTGTCAGATATTCACCCAGTTTTTATTTTGTGTTAACAGCTATCCACTTACATTTAAAAACCTTCTTTAAGAGATGTTTAATATCATAAAAGCATATTCTTAATTTCAACTTATGAGGAAGACATTTGTGAAATTGCATTTTAAGACATTATTTTCTCTATAACTCTTCACACTCTGTTTAGAATATGTGAAGTTCATTGGCTTTTGCTTTTCGATTTTAGAAAAATGACATTTAAACAGCATTATAGTGTTTAGGTATTTGTGTAATCGTTTTCTTCTTAATCTTGATATACGTGAAACCTTCTTAACAGTATCATAAAGAAGTCGTTCGTTTGATGTCTGGCGAGTTTAGACAGAAGATAGGAGACAAGTATATAAGCTTTGCCCGGAAATGGATGAATTACGTCCTGACTAAATGTGAGAGTGGTAGAGGCACAAGACCCAGGTAATGACCACGTAGGATGCCTCCTTCATGGGCCATGTGGGGTGACTGACACTTCATTCTTATATTTTATGTGGGATTTCTGAGCAGATGACACAAAAAGCATTTTGAACTCTTTGGTGATCAGTTTTTTTCTTCCTTTTTTAAAAAACAAACCTATTTACATAGAAACCCCCATAACTCTTGGAAAACTTTTTCTTTTGTAATTGTTGCAGAATGAGTTATCTTTAAGCAGTTCACATTCTCCCTCGACAGGTCTTCCTGATTGCTAATCTTCTTTTCTCCTTCATGAAATTTATGCCTGTTATTTAGTGTAAATGGAAAAGAAATTGGTAACCTGTTCCTTTGCTAAAAAGCTATTTGTCTTTCTCAAAACATGATGTAAACTTACTCAACACGAGGCAAATGACAGAGACACAAATGTGTTTTGTCCTAGATGGTAATTTTCCAATCAGATTACTTTTCAGTATTGTATAGACTAAAATTTCTATGGCATTTGCTTGATTGTTTTGTGACTCTTGAACTTTTCCTCGTGACAGGTGGGCAACTCAAGGTTTTGACTTCCTGCAAGCCATTGAACCTGCTTTCATTTCAGCTTTACCAGAAGATGACTTCCTGGTATGGGATATTCTAAAGTGTTTTTCCTTAAAAAACCCAAATAAGTTGATCACTCTCTATTTCTGATTGTGTATCTTTTTATTAATTTAAAAGCGGTTCTTAAATATTTTCACATAATTGTAATGATAATGCTGAGAGGTTAAAGCACTAATAGCAGAGTAGGACATTCAGTGCTCTTTTTATAACAATATTGTTCAGCTGACCAAGTCAGTGTACAGTTGTTTGTGCAGCCTGGCACTTACAAAATACGTGTCAGTTTTATATTTTATAAAGTGCTGCTGCTTTTTAGCAGCTTAATGAAGAACAAGGAATAGCTGTTTCACTTCAGTGTTAGTCGCCGTGCAGCATGCGGGATCTTAGTTTCCCAACCAGGAGTTGAAGCCATGCCCGCTGCAGTGGAAGCACAGAGTTTTAACCACTGGACCGCCAGGCAAGTCCAGTGTGCGCCATTATAGAGCATAATGGCAAATGTTAAATAATATCACCAGTATCCAGATAAATTCCATCAGATCAGAAAGATGTTGTTCAAATGTGAATTCATTCATTTTAGCCTCCAAGTAGTAGAGGAGATTACAGGAGTCCTTTGCTTGTGTACATCATTGCATTATGGGGAGCTGATAGAAAGTGGAATTGTATATTTTCTTAAATTATGTACGATTTATGTTTATACCTATTTTCTTTTAAACTAACTTTGAAAATATTTACTTAAGGATAGCTTGTTTCTTTTAAATATACTGAAAGCCTAATTTGTGCGACTTATATAATTGAGTGTACATTTTTTCTCTTTTCCTTTTCCATTTCCTTTGGTTTCTAGAGTTTACAAGCCCTGATGAATGAATGCATTGGCCATGTAATAGGAAAGCCGCACAGTCCTATTACAGGTTTGTACCTTGGTAAGAAAACAGTTAGAGCGTCTCTCCTAGAACCTACTGGTTTGGGTGAGCACATTGTCTCATCATTGCAGTTATTTAAAATGCTATAGAGGTTCTCTAAGAATATTCAGAAAAATGACAAGGAAAGTTACAGGAAGGAGGTGTATATACATAGAGAACCCCACAGTAGCCTTTCTGAATTTAACAGGAAGGTTAAAATGTGAGCACAAGGTGGTCTATGCTTGCCCACAGTGTTAAACTACAGGTTTTTTCTTGTTACACCAACACTCTCATTCTGTTCTCCCCCCTAAATTCTTTTCCCCTGGGGAGGAGAGACTTAGAGAAATAGTTGTCTGGTAAGAAGCAAGGCCTTTCTTACTGCAGGTGGGTGAGTATAATTGTTCTGCCCTTCCTTTCGCACCTTTTGAAGGAGAATGAGTTTGTTTTCTTCACAGCTTTCCAAAGTACCCATTCCTCACTAATGTAGAAAATTCCTAATTGCTCCCCCCCATTCCCATTTGCTGTTACTTAAAAAAAGAAAAAAGTTAAGTTCTGCTATAATATACTTAAATTACAGTTTTCAGTTCCAGTTGATATGTAGCTTTACAGTGTATGTTGAAACTTTAAAACAAAATATGTATCAGAAAACGGCTGTCTTACCCTATTCTTGAGATAACAAACCAAAGCAAAACTATATTTATATGTAAAAAACAACCAAAAATGAAAACTTAGAAATTTTAAATACTTCATTTACACGAAAGAAAATAATTCATAAATGGTAAATTTATTGAGCAGCAGCTGTATCTTAAAGGGTACTTGCTAGCTACTCAAAGTTTAGTAGACCAGGTCTTAATGCTTGATTTCTTTATCTTTAAAATTCACCCAGTTTATACCTCTTTTTCTCCCAAGGCTGCTATGAAATGAAAGTTATCATTTATAAAACTATTTGAACATTTTATATAAAACGTGCTATATTCTCACCAATCTTTTGATTAAGCGTATTATCATAAATACTTTGAGTTTCTGATTTCCCAAAATATTTCTCTAAGAATACATGATAAATAATTCAGTAAAAATTACTTCTTTGAAGTATTTTATTACATAAGGAATCATTTTCATTGTAGAAAAAAAAATTACAACGTAGAAAATGTATGTAGTAAACATACATGTAGAAAAATATTACAAAGGGAAAAAAACCTCATACCCACATAGTCCACAGGTAGTCACTGCTAGCATGTGAGCCGCTGACTCTGCCTGGCCCCACACTGCGGGTGGGACAGTCGGATCGCAGCACTCTCTCTGGGCACGACTTGGCCTTCGTCCTCTCAGCCACTGGGATGGTGGAAACTGCACTGGACGGAGAGCCAGATTGCCTGGCAGTTGAGTGACCTGGGGCTGCTCATTGAACATCTTTGAGCCTCCCCTACTAATGCTTAAAATCAGATGCTAATGAGGGTTCAATAAAGTAATGACATTTTGTAAATTGTAGCGTTCTACACATGGCAGGAGTCATCATTTGGTTTTGTGCTCTTTCCTTACGAGAGAAGTCGATGAAAGTGAGAGCACATTGTTGTCGTTGTTGCTGCTCACTCTTTTCTCTCCCCCGGCTCTACCCTCATAAGGATGGGTAGATAGACACTCTGTCATTGTAAGCAGATGGTAAGAGTCTGCTATAGAACCTTCTGTATTTTCTGTATACTCATATAATTACACGGATGCATTCTACCACACCTTTCTTTATGCCCATATAATCACGCAAGCACAGATGCCGTTGTTTTTTTTCCTGCCATTTACTGTATAAAAATTGGATCACATTGGATATTAATCTCTGACAATTGTAGAAATCCCTCCATGTCAACAAGTATAGATCCAATTCATTCTCTTTAGTGGCTACATTGTGTCCATTGTGGTTATTCTACAATTCTTTCCACCATTTCCTTATTTGTTTGGTTAGTTTTGCCATGAAAAACATCTCTATGATGAATGTTCACCACTAGTGAAATTTGAGCATCTATTTTATGTTTATTGGCCATTTGGATTTTCTTTTCAATGAGGTGGCACAGTTTTGTAACAGTTAGATATACATACTCTTAAAAGGAATGTTCTGTTTCATGAATGAAGAATGTTAAACCTGGGTGTGTGTGTTTTAATAGAATGCCTTTATTTTTATACCTTCATGGGAAAATTTTGCAGTAATTTTTGACTCAGTAGTTCTCAGTACGTTTGCTGAATTAGAGACATCAGCATTCTCACCCAATCGTCTTTGTTTTTTCCTTTTGCCTCTGAATTTGCCTATTGAATTACTTCCATTTAAGGTTGTGATAGTTGAGATAATGAGCCAGAGATACAAATTGCCTGGGTTCCTTCATAACAATTACTTGATTTTTGTTTTGCAAGCTTTCCCTTCAGATCTCTCCGTTTTTGGTACTCCTCCCTCTCCTGTGTAGTGTTATTAAAAGTAAACAAAAACCATGAAGAAGTATTTTCATTTAGGATAAACGTATTTAGGATAAAACATATGTAGACTAAAATTATTAACGTGAAGAGAAAATATGACATTTCTTAAAAAACTAGGGAGGGTTAAAACAAAGTTAAAAATCAGAGGAAAACATGTTAGGGAGAAATAGACAAAATATATCATATTCATGACTAGTTACATTTAGTCATTGGGGATGAAGAATTGTCAGCATTTTTGTGATTGCGAGGTACGGTCTCTTTAAGTTTTGGTTAAAATTTTACCTAGTTTTTAAACTTTGTTTTAAATCTTATCCATATTTACCTTCTACCAGAATATTTAAAAGAAGAAGAGAAGAAAACATGTTCTGAAAAGAATAATCAATTTATTTTTTTATTTTTTTAATTTTTTTTTAAGAATAATCAATTTAAACCAGTGTCCATCCTCCTGATTTGGTTTAAAGGAATTAAATAGAACTCCCAGTACTCAGGAGAATGACAGTGCCCTCTCCCCAGCCCAGGAACCTGTTGAAGTGTCTCCCCCACCCCCCGACCAGAATCTTTTTAAAGGTTCAGACAACATAATTCCTGTTTAGTGGAGAAAATGCCACGTGAACCACATTTTCATCTGTCTCTAAAATGTGTAATACAATTTTATTAACTTTCAAAAAGTGACATTTTCCCAGCATTTGTGTATGTAGTACGATTTTCTTCCTTATATAAATGGTTTTATTTTGATCACCAGCAAAAGTGAGCCATTTCCACTGAATTGCCTGGTTTTACAGTTTTCTGCTGACCCCTTAACAAGTTGAGTTTGTCGCTCTTTTCACCGGCAGCCATTCATCGGAACAGCCCCCGTCCTGTGAAGGTACCACGATGCCATAGCGACCCTCCTAACCCTCATCTGATTATCCCAACTCCAGAGGGATTCAGGTATTTGGTGCTTGTCTAGTTGTTTGCTTTATGGATTCTTCTCTGATGTCCGTGCTGACGCTCCAAGAGCTGCTGATGCTTGCTCTGATACCAAATACTGTTTTCTGTGTTCTTGTTTATACATTTTAAAAAGCTCTTATTTTCGTTATCTTGAAGACATACCACAGTGCCTTAGTTACAAAAGAAGACTTGCAAGTTTAAAACAGACTTGTACCTTTCAAGATAACTTAGTTTCTCAGCTTATTTATAACCTCAAGCTACTAAATGCTTTCCAGCTTTGGAATAATCCTTTCTTTCCCTTTCTTTGAAAAATAACTTTAGGAAAACAAATTTGAGTGTGCATAGCATGGTAAACAAACATTTGAAAAAAGGAACTAAATGTCATTTTAAAAGTGGAGAAAAAACTGGAGTGATCCTTCCAGTCTTGACTTGTATGTGTGTATGTAACTACGAAGCAACTTAAATTCTCAAGTGAGTTCGGAAACTCTAGTACATTCAAAATACTTACTTTGAATGTGGTGGCATTTCTGCATCTTGAAGTCGTGAGCATCTTTTCTCCCCTGTATAATCAGTTTTTAAAAGTTTATCTTTTTACATGACTTGCTAGGCAAGGACCACAATTATTGTTAAAAATAATTAGTTCGAAATTAGTTATTTTTCTTTTTCATACCTAGACCTGAATCTCAAAGAACAGTTTGTGTTTGAAAATTATTTTTGGCTTCCTCGCCCGACTTTATTTTTAACGGAAACCACGTGAGAGCCCGTCCCCTGTCTCCCCCGTGTTCCTGAAGCTCTTCTTCTCTCCCAGCACCCGGAGCGCGCCTGCGGACACGCGGAGCCTCAGCAGCCCCGCCGCCGCCACTGTCACTGCCACCGCCGCCAGCGGTCGCCCCGGCCCCTCCGGCAGCGACTCTGCGCCGCCCAAACCCATCAGCAGTGCCCATGAGACCAGGTAGTCTCCCGACCAGCGTCACGTCTCCTTCCCCCGCCCCCGGGTGCGCGGCCGCTTCGGGCATGTGTCCCGGGACACGTGGGGCCTGCTTCCCCGCGGTGTATGACGCTCAGGGGCCCTCCGTGGGGGGTCATGGTCCCAAGGCTCCAGCACAAGTCGGAAATCTGCCTGACGTTTACATTTCTTTGGCACAAATGTTAACCAAAATGGCCAGAGTCTCTGCTCATAATAACCATGAAGAGAGTGTCAGAGGAAAGGACCCGGTCCACTGATAGGAGAGTTTTGGCAAATAGTGCCTTTCCTGAGGAGTTTCTGAGGAGTCGCTCAAAGATGACTTCTAGGTAATACCATTAGGTGGTGATTTGTTTTTCTAAGAGAATTACTTTTCTCACTCAGTTTCCTAATGTATACAGTTGTTGATTAGAAGTCGTTTATAGTAGTGGAAAAATGAGTTCATGTGGTTTGTATCTCATATGGAGACTAGATCATTCCTGGAGAGAGCTGTCAGATGCTTGGCAGAGGCTCCAGAAACATTTCAGTCTCTGGCATGAAGTCTTCTGTAGAAGTACTGAGGCTGTGGCATTTTCCCCATTCTGGCTGGGTTTTTTTGGGGGGTGGGAAGGGAGGGTAGAGGGTTTCATCAAGGTCTCATATGCTTAATGGAGAAAGGACATTTGGTGGCTCTTAATTCCCGCCTTGTGCCTGGTAGAATGGACACCATCACCATTCTCATCTTCCCATAAGGATGATGATAGAGTCGAACAAAACTGACCGAAAAAGATGAAATTTTGAGAGAACTCAGTGCTCTGTATCCTGCTCCTAAGAAAAAATATAAGTATGTTGGCAGAAACATGACACATGCTTTTCGAATTTAAAATAGACTAAAATATTTTTAGACTTAGTTTATAGCAGTCTAAAATTTCTACAGATATTTCCATTTTTCTCATTCACTAAAATAATTAATATTCCTAATTTTTAGCGACAACTGTCTATAACCTAAAGAAAATGCTGACGTACTTTACAGCTTAAGCAGTCAACTAAAAAAATTAACAACATTGAACAAATTCCCATTTACCCTCTTCTTCTCATGTTTAGAACATTTCATGGCAGACATTTCCACATGTGCTTCACGTCCCTGCAGGGGGTTGAAACTGTCTTTTTTATAAATGCAGTAAGGGAAGCGATGTGCCCTAAAACGCAGTCATAGTTGAGGAGAACACTCAGCCAGAACTGTGGTTCACACGCAGTTTCTGCAGAACTGGAGGTTTCGTGAACTCTGGTTGAGGCTTTTATAAGTTGGTGGTGTGTGCGTTGAATGTACTTGAGTATAGAAGTTAAAATACCTGCAGTCGGCCTCTCCCCGCATTTTGTCCCCCAGGCTTTGCATTAAGTAGTTTCTCAGCATGTTTTGAGCAGCATTTCAGAAGTGTTCTTCATTTATGCTTTAGGACAATCCTTGAGATTTAGAAATTTTACTTCCATTGTAACATGCCATCTTGAAGGCCTTTGTTCACAGAGGAATAAAGTGATCTGTCCTTCCTCGCGGTGTGTGTGGCCGTAGGTACAGAACAGCAGAGCCATGAGGGCGTGCAGAGCCGCGGGGTTGTCAGCCTCCCGGCTGCCTCCAGCCTTAACCCCGTGGCCCAGCCTCCCGCGCCTGTGCAGGGGCCGCACGTGCCCCTCAGCTGGGGTCTCCGGGTAGCCCTGGGCCGTGAACAGGCTGTGAGGAGGCAGGGTGGTACCTGCGCTTCCTGACTTCGGCAGGCGTGTGTGCAGCCCTTGCCTGTCTTAGAGATACGTCAGCCACGGTGAAATTTTACTTTGCCCCACAGCTTCTGATAAATAGTTTGCTTTGATACAGTTTGACTTAGGAAATAGTCTGGGCTTCAGTTATTTTACCGTTGTTTAGAAAACATTTTTGCAGTGTTCTGCTCGCTGGAGCTGCCTCTTACTGGTCTGCAAGAGCTGATAGTTCATTTTTCAGGAATCCTGCAAGCCAGTTGTTACGCCACGGAAATTGTTGAAGTCTATATACCCTGCCGCTCCCCCTGCAACTGGTTGTTAAACGTTCACCCGTGCATCACTTCATCTAAGTGTGTTTTCTTGCCTGTTACACTGGCAAAAATGTGAGGATGTTGAATTGGCTAATCTTCTCTCTGGGAAATCAGGAAACTAGAAATGTTGAGTGGCTTCTCCGTGGTCCCAGGCTTTGGCACAGCTTAGGAGTGGGATGTGTTTCTTCACTTCAGCATCAGTGGTTTTTCCAGGAAACAGTGCCAAGACTCTTTGATGAACTAATGACAGTGGAAGGTGTCCCCCTCACTTCAGACTTAACAAGTACTATACCAGATTTGAGAGTTTAGGGAAATAAAAAAGCAGTGCGTATTTTATAATTTGTGAATGTCTGTCCAGTAGGCCATGTTGCTTTAATAAAAGTCTATAATAAAAAAGAGCATAAATGCTACCATACTTCATTATATCATTCATTTAAAAAAATATGCACTAAACTTGTTAATAGACTAACACTGTATTTATTTTGGATGATTTGAATTACAATTTTAACACTTTTCCCTTATTTAATTCTGGGCTTTATTTAACCTTTATGGATTCATTCTGGATTGCTGAACACTTTATTCTGGAAAAGCAGCAAATTAACTTTGCCCTTTATATGTTAAGCTTTCTGTTCTTCTGCACTTTTGCTTGGCTACTGCTTGAGAAATTGCTAGGTATTCCCTTAACGTTTGCTCATTAAGAGATTTGAGCTCTTTGAATCATGAAATGATTTTAGCACTTCAAATAGAATTAAAGTACATAAATAGAATGTGATGATTTTAAATATTAGCCAGACTTGGCACATAATTTTTATCCATCCTGGGCTTAAATTATGGAGCTTTCAGCACATGTCAGTAACACTTCAGTAAATACTGTTTTTATTTATGTTGCTGTTTTTAACATAAAACGATATAGGATGCAGTCAGGTTCTCATGCGTTCTCCCACCAAACTCCAGGGACAGGTGTCTCGGTAGGAGCACTGCTGCTTCGGGAGAATAATTCTTGGTTCGGGACTGTCCTTTGTGTTGTCCTTTACCCACTAGATGCCAGGTGTTCTTGGAGGGGAAAGTTACCCCCAGTTTAGAATCACTGCTCTGGAAGAATCTCACAGATGGTTCATTTTGAGTTCCATTGAATTGATAGCTTAATTTTTAAAAATATTAAAACAGGGGTTCCAGCGTCCCTGAGAATGATCGATTGGCTTCCATAGCGGCCGAACTGCAGTTTAGGTCCCTGAGTCGTCACTCGAGCCCCACCGAGGAGCGAGATGGTGAGTGTGTAAGGTGTCACCTGCATCTCTAGTCAGCCTAACCGTTTGTCTCAGTCCACCAGTTTCTGCTGTTAAGGCCTTTTAAAAGAAATGAAGTGAAGGAGTGACAGAGCCCTGTGAGAAGGATTAGTGCTGAACACATTGGCTTTTTAATGCCTTTTTAGCTATATTTGCATTTTTTCTTTTTGTTGCTAAATAATTTTAAAAAGTTATTATTTCTGATACTTTAATTGTTGAGCACGCTTATTCACTTTAAAAATATAAAATGGCACTGTGCTTGTTAATGATATGCTGAAGTTTTATTATAATGCAGAACTAGGAGTCTTTGCTCAGAAACCACACGGTTGCTCCTGCTGTAGCTCTGCTGGGCTCCTGGGCAGGGCCTCGGGAGGGGGGGGCCCCAAAGAAACCAGTTTCTGCTCAGTATTCTAAGGTCTGTTACTTGTGGAAAGTTTTTGTGGTTAAAGTTCTGTAACTCCATTAACAACTTTTTAGCTTGGTGAAATTTGCTATAAATGATTGTAGAGACAGCTTTTCACACTCACCTCAAACAGAAATTAACCACCAGGAATGACAGGTTGATTGTAACTAATCATCGCTACTCATCATTTCAGTCTTGCTGTGAATTAAGTAAGCTTATTTGTTTTGTAAGTCTTAATTTGTATGAAAAAATACTTTCTGCAGAACCAGCGTATCCAAAAGGTGATTCAAGCGGGTCAACTCGAAGAAGTTGGGAACTTCGGACACTTATCAGTCAGACTAAGGGTAAGAGAAAGAATGTTGAACGTAACACGTTTAAGCATAAGGTGAGCAGTTTCAGCTGAAATTTGCTTTAGCCTGTGAATTATTAGACCTTCTACGTTAATGTTTTGTGATCTTTTTTAGACCTCTGACATCACTTTCTGTCTGCGATGTGTTTGTGTGCATTTCCTATTTCTTACAAACTGCTTTGGAGCAGGAACACGTCTTACTCAGTTTTGTATTCTTTAAGCAGAGTGATGGTTCATTTTATATGTCACCTGGGTGGGCCCTTAGCATAATTCTTTATGCATGGTAGGAATATAATAAATATTTGCGAAGTGAGTAGCCGTGTATTTCTTATGCTAAGAAGCTGGAGAAAGCATTCATCTCATAAAGCAGTCAATCAGTATGAACCAGAAGTGATCAGTAGACACCCGGAGAATAAACAGCAGAAAAATCCGTGGTCTATTAGCACAAAATGCTTTCACATATTCTTCATCACAACAGTGTTGAGTCATGGGCAGAATAGAACCTGTTCTCTTTCTGTAAATGATAAAAGTTTCTGAGGGGCTAGATAATTTGGCCGAGGTCGTCGTAAATGAGAGCTGGGACCAGACTGCATCCTTCCGCCTTCAGGCCGGGCTCTTCTCACCACAGCTCCCCTTCGAAAAGTGTGAAACTGAGCAGCAGAAGAGCCATCACCGGGCCTGGAGCAGTCAGGAGGGGTTCCAGGGGGGGCTGAGGCTTGGGCTGGCCCCTGAAGGAAAGAGGTCTGCCTCAGGCCAAGAGGAAAAGTACCCAATGAGAAACACATCTGGAGGCCCAGTGACTGAAGAACAGACCAGCCGGCCTGGCCTGGCCCGGCCCGGCCTGGATAGCGTAGATGTAAATGGAGGTGGAACTGTAAGGGTAGGGGAGACCTGATCACGGCCAGTCTTCAGCGATGGGCTAGGTGATTAAGGCCTTACCCAGCGATGGTGGGCGGCCCCTGAAGCCTCTTGAGCTGGAAAGCCTCTTATGTTCAGGGAGAGCGAGGGTGAGGCTAATAGGGACACTGAGGAAGCTTAACCTGCTGGCCTGAATTGGGGAGGAAAGTAGGGAGAAGGGCTAGAACGCCGTTGTAGTGATACAGTGGAAAATAAGATGCTGGCCTAAGGTGGGATTTTAAAAAAGCCATGGAAGCAGAAACAGCCGTGATGCCACATTTGACAGGCCTGGGCAGGTTAGGTGTGGTAGAGGGTTAGGAGTTCAGCGGAGGTTTCCTGTGCTTGAGCCTGGTGACAGGGCAGAGGGTCCCTCCAGGCGCTCTCACATAACCGGTAGGTCCCACGGATACCAGGTCTTTGTGATAATTTTCAAAACAAATACTTTGTTGTCAAGTGAATTTGGGAACTCTTGGGAGAGTTACAGTTGACACTGACATATTAAAGACTGGGAAATCTTGAGAAATGTTTACTGTTAAAAAAAAATAGGCCTTTCCCCAGAAATATTTGACAGTGGAGTCCATGACCTCACAGCTCTGAAATCTTATTCAGTGCTGAGTAGACGTAATGTGTCATGTATTGAGGTAAAGGAAACAAGGATCCATGTTTTTAAGAAATGATTGTACTCAGACACTGTAATTGGGCCGTTATAAATCTCTGGAAGTTTCTCCTCTCAAAGTAACCGTTCAGCCATCACAGTCCTCAGTGATCTCTTAGACAGAAAATTCAGGCTCTCAGATGGCTCGTTAGGGGACAGGATGAGAAATACATTAGTGGAGATGTATGTAAAGAAAGCAGTGCTTTTCACATTATGGGTTTCGACCCTTTGGTGGGTTGTAAAATCAGCACTAAAAAAGAAACAGGGCTTCCCTGGTGGCGCAGTGGTTGAGAGTCCGCCTGCCGACGCAGGGGACACGGGTTCGTGCCCCGGTCTGGGAGAATCCCACATGCTGCGGAGCGGCTGGGCCCATGAGCCACGGCCGCTGAGCCTGCACGTCCGGAGCCTGTGCTCCGCAACGGGAGAGGCCACAACAGTGAGAGGCCCGCGTACCGCAAAAAAAAAAAAAAAAAAAACTGGACGGAATCCTAGTCACATGTAGAAAGAGTAATAGCGTTTCATGAAACTGTCGTTTTTGATATTATCTATTTGTGTAAAAGATATTTCTTACTGAAAATCATGATAAAATATGTTGGAGAAATCGAGATAGCTTGATGGGAAAATAAGGAATAATAATAACAATAGCTAAAATTTACTAAGTATTTTAATATTCTGGGCACTGGGCTAAATGCTTTATGTGCGTGATTTCATTAAATTCTCACAGTATCTCTGAATGAGGTATTATTGCCTTCATTTCACGGATTAGGAATTTGATGTATAAAGGAGTTAACTAACTTGCTGATTGTCAAGCACCTAGAAAATGGTGAAACCAGGGTTTTATTGCAGGCATTCTGATTCCAGAGCCCTTACTCTAGAGAAAGGAAAACTTAATTTCCTTCCCAACAGAGACGCTTCCTGGAAGAGGTGTAGTACACTTCTGCAGAGCTCTGCCAGCGAGAGGACAGGAGGGTGTGAGCAAGGGGATGGGGTGAGAAGCGGTTTGGGGTGACCCACAGAGGCTTTTCAGCTGGGCTGGTCCAGAGCCTCTTGTAGGAGAAGTGAACCCGGAAGGAGCCTGCATGCATAATGGCCTCGGACTTCCGGTGAACAGGTCATGATGAACTGTCAAATAAATTATGCGGGAAAAGAACACGATCAGATTTTACGTTTTAGTAAAGAGAATTCTGGTCACTGAGAGTGGATTGGAGAGAGGAGACAGGCGGGTGGTTCCTGCAGAGTCTAGCCAACACTCTTGCTACAGGAAATCATTGATTCTGTCTGAGTAGCTTCTGTTTTATGTGCATATTTCTGTCGTGGGTGGTATACTCTGAAGTCGCTAGGTTTTGATGGCCTTTAATTCACCTGCTGTGTATCTGAATAGATAATGCTGTGCTGGAGTGCTAATGTCTGTTGCTCTGTTTTTATTATTATTTGCTGGAAATTGACTTGATTCTAGTCGTTGGGACACAACTAAGTGTGCACTTCCCCCTGCAGATACCGCTTCCAGGCAAGGACCCATAGAAGCTATTCAGAAGTCAGTCCGACTGTTTGAAGAAAAGAGATACCGAGAAATGAGGAGAAAGAATATCATTGGTCAAGTGTGTGATACCCCTAAGTCTTATGACAATGTTATGCACGTTGGCTTGAGGAAGGTGACCTTTAAGTGGCAAAGAGGAAACAAAATTGGTAAGGAAACTAAAGAACATGACACAAAGATTGTCTCTGTTAGAAATAGCAATAGTTACACTTCCTCAGGTTCAATCTTACATGGTTGGTCCTTTTCTCTTAGGGAGGTGGCAAATATACATTGTATCTTTTGCAGAGGGGTTTGGTTTTTGTTTCATTTGTAAAGTGTTTTCTAAGAACAATACAAAAGAGACTTTAGAAAGAGAGTTTTCAGTGGTTCATTAAATGGAATGGTTTTGCCTGATAGCTCCAGAAGTTGCTAGTGGAGAACTATGCAACTTTTACCCATCTGTTCTAGTTTGTATTCTTTTTATCTTATTCCCACAAGATCATTATTGAAGCGAGACTGGATACAAATTAAGACGGGACAGTCTTTTCTAAAACATCAGTTAATTTCCAAGTGAAACAGTTTCTTGTAAAATAACTAGTGATAAGATGGTGTGAGAAAAGGAGATGATTATGTTTCAGATCTTTCCCCCATTTAAATGCATTTATCTGGACTTCCCTGGTGGCACAGTGGTTAAGAATCCACCTGCCACTGCAGGGGACACAGGTTTGAACCCAGGTCTGGGAAGATCCCACATGCCGCGGAACAACCAAGCCCATGCGCCACAACTACTGAGCCTGCGTGCCACAACTCCTGAAGCCTGCTTACCTGAGCCCGTGCTCTGCAACAAGAGAAGCCCGCGCAGTGCAATGAAGAGTAGCCCCCGCTCGCTGTAACTAGAGAAAGTCTGCGTGCAGCCATGAAGACCCAACGCAGCCAAAAATAAATTTAAAAAAAACAAAACTCTCATTTAAAAATAAATAAATGCATTTATCTGTTGAGCATTTAGGTCTGAAGAAGCAAACAAAGTTGTAATACAAGACTCTGGGAGCCTCAGGACATTGAAGTTTTCGTAGAGCTATCAGGGAAGAACACACTGAAAAGAATCAAGTCCTTTATAAATTGTATTAATTCTTGTTTTCAGTCTTATTCAGCCATATATCCCCTTAGTTTAATGTCCCAAAAGGTGTGTTAGTAGAATACCCCACTAATAGCCCACACGCCTGGCCATACAGGAATGAGGTGCATTGAGACGACAGTCAGGCTTACTCCTGGCCACTAGCCTTGCCCGCCCACCTCACCCAGGCCTCCTTGAGGGCCATAGGGGCTCAGCGGTGTGCACTAGGGGGCTTAGTACTCACCTTCATGCCTCTTCTGGGATTTGCCAGTCAGTTCTACTCTATTCACAGGCATTTACAGGTAAGACATAGTGAAAAGATTGCCTAAGACTTCAGTTCTTACGGTTTTTAGGGAACATTCAGAAACAGTTTAGATCTTGCAGTAGTAGACTATAGTAAGCATGGTTATAGATATATGAATACAGATTTGGAATTGGAAGAGATTATTGTACGTTTCAATGAGTTACAATGGCCTGGCTTTGGTGGCTGAAAGCAGCTCATTTGTTCCTGTTCACAGGGGAAGGGCAGTATGGGAAGGTCTATACCTGTATCAACGTGGACACCGGTGAACTGATGGCCATGAAGGAGGTGGGTGCTCCAGCCCTCTGGGGGCCTTTTTGTCTGAGGCCTCCGTGTGGTAGAGATTTGGAAGCGAATCTTGTGTTTATGAGGTTAGAGCTGGCCTAAGTGCTTCCATAGTGAGTCATCTAGGCCTGAGGTCTGCTTCTTAGCATTTACACCATTGGGACCAAGAGGGGACTTGAGCGGGGGGCGGGGGGCGGATTTGTGATAAGGTTCAGAAACGAACAGCTTTTTATCTGCTGGAGGTAGAAAGCAGGACCAGGGAGCGCCTGAAGAAGGCCCCGGCGGGGGCACTGAGGGCCGTGGAGGGTGAGGCTAGAGCCGCGCGACCGTTGGTCCCCGAGTGGCTGTGAGGGGGCAGCGGGCACATGTGGCCCCCTCTTCAACCCCTGCGGCATCTCCCCATCTTCCCTGTGTGGCACTTACCCGTGCTGCTTTATGACCTCATTCCCGCGTGGCTCTGAACTTCGTGAGGGCAGAATCTTATCAACTCCTCTTTTTATCTTGCCCAGAACCTAAACACCTGTGATTGCTTCCTGAATCACAGGAACGTTTCATGTTTTGGTTAATTCAGTCTGTAGTTATGAAAATGATCCCACTAGCTGTTATCTGACCACATACTCTAAAGCAGGCGTGTTTAATTCAACAAGGAGAAGAAAGCCTGGCAGTGAAGTCACAAACACACTGACCATGGTGCCATGGGGCCGGACAGCGGACATGTCAGCATCCCAGCCTTTGCATTCAAAGTCGGCGTCTTTCTAGCTTGTGACATTGCCAACAGTAATCAACAGTTTTCCTTTTCCAGATTCGCTTTCAACCTAATGACCACAAAACTATCAAGGAAACGGCAGACGAACTTAAAATCTTCGAAGGCATCAAGCACCCCAATCTGGTTCGGTATTTTGGTGTGGAGCTGCATAGGGTAAGCCAACTTTGATCACACTGTTTGGTGTGAGCGGTCAGTGAGGGCACAGATGGAGTCCTGTCCTACATCACAGGTCTTCTCATTTCAGAGCACAGTAACTTTGCCTAATTATCAGGAAATCTCCATGAGTTACATCATTTCTGCCTTCTCTCTGAAACTAGAGGAGTTCTTCCTAAAATGTAAGTTGTAGACTGTAGTCATTAACCCGACATTATAAAGCACTGAAACCCATCCTGCCAACCAGAAGATTTCTCTAATGCCCCTTACACAGCTGTGTGTCGCTTTTTTTTTCTTCCATGTTTTGCTGAACCACTGTTGAGTACATTGTTCGGTAACGTTTTTTCTCTTATATGTATTGAAGGAACCATTGTGAAATGAGAGAAAATTAAGACCTCAGATTATTTTCCCCCTTGTGTTTAGAGATAAACACTTTGAGGGAAAG